AGAAAAAAGAAAATGAAATACCTGTCTCGACCTTTTGGCTAAGATCAAGGGCCTCACGCCACTACTCTCGACATGTACAAAAGGCAATCCATTTAATAAATGATACGTGCTCCATCTATCAAAAATAAAAAAGAACATTCAGCGGCCTAGCTTAATCGGTTAGGCGTGCAAGTGGCATTCAGGAGGCCGTGGCCTCAATCCCCATGGCCGCCTGTAGCACTCTTGGTGCCAACCAACTGAGATAGTCAACTAGATCTTCCCAGTCGGTATCAGTAAGGTCTTCAGCCAACACGGGTTTGAGTGCGTTGCGTGTGGTGTGCGTGGGAGTGATGGCTCTAGACACTACTGTTACTCAATGGGGGTGGGGGAAGATGATGAGGGAGGCACAGTTACTGCCAAATGCTTTCTCCTTGTGTTCAAAGGGGCCCCACCGGTGGCCCGAACCCTGCACCCTAATCGCTAAGGCAAAAGGGCAAACATGCCGTTACCCCTCTCCACCGAGAGTGGTAACCTCCCATCACCGAGGAGAGGTAGAAAGCTATGCTTGCAGGGGTCCCCCGTATAGCCTTACGAATAGTGGTAGGTAGGTAGTGAAAAGAAAGATACAATACCTTTCTCGGCCTTTTGGCTAAGATCAAGTGTAGTATCTGTTCTGATCAGTTTAATATCTGATCCGTCATAGGGCCACATTTAAAAAAAAAAAGAAAAAAGAAAAAAAAAAAAAGAAAGATACGTTCCACGACATCGCAGAACGCCAGTTAAAAGATATGTGAGGTGAGAGAAAAATAGACTGCTTTAAAAAGAAAAGAGAAAAAAACAGAGAACAAAGACGAAGGACAAACGGGGAAAGGAAAGAACCAAGAACAGAAACACGAGAAAACAAAAGGATCAGAGGAGATGGTCGTTCCTTTTCTACTACGAGCGGCGAGTAATGTTCAGGATTCCTTTCGTAGGTGAGAGCTCGGCCTCGACAAAACTTTTGACAACCACTCGCTCGACCGCCATAGCCTTACCGACCCTGCTCCACAACTCTCGACATCATGCACAAAAGACAAATCATGGCGGTGTATCTTTCCATGTTGTAGGGGAGGCTTCACTCTCGTTTTGCACATGTTGAGAGTAGTGGATCCACGCCCAAAAAGGGAAAAGGCGTTAGTACCGGGAAGACCAAGCGCATGCAGCATACGTTTGTCAGCGATGCTGAACAGAGCATTGTGACAGATGATGCAATATACGTATATGTGACGTATGAGATCGATACGAAAGGACGCCATCCAGAATTAGAGCTCAGAGTCACAACAGACGAAGTCACTTGATTTCACACTGCAAGGGAGCAAGGTTTTCCAAAACAACTTTCGAGTCATCATCAACACAGTAATACTCAAAGCTGACTCAGGAAAGGGCGGGTCAGCCCTTGTCTTTCAATCGAAAAAAAAAAGAAAAGAATGCCGGATAAGTGCGCAAGGCCAGCAGTTGCAAACATATCACAGGCCGTAGACGGAACGCGATGATTCCACCTGGCAAGCACCCCCCTCATATAAAACCGCGATTAGACAATTTGATCGTGTTGGCTTCGTACCTCTTTCCCCTCTGTGAGACACAGCAGATAGCTGGGGGAAGGATGTGGGGGGTGGATGTGGAGAGAGAGAGAGAGAGAGAG